TTACTTCTTCTATCCGGCATTGTCACTTCTTCCCGCTCATAAATTTGATAACAGTTGTCAAACTAACGGAATTAATTGCTAGAGGTGACTAAGGTCAGAGTTAGTCTTGCACCTTAGTAATGATTGTTGCCTTTTATGGTCATCTTGATCTGTTTTCTCATCGTTCACATCGAACGGAATAGAGGGGGGGTTTGTTCGGTTCGGTCTAGTCTTGTCGGTGACCTTTTGTTACCCTCTATTATGTAACAAGTTGAGGATTAAGTTAATTGGAATGTTATTTGTACATTAAAACGAAGGTGGCAATGAATAATCCCCGGATGTGAGGGGAGAACTTTATCTGTCGTCCTAAATGTCTTTGAAAGCCTACTGCTTTCGACGTGACGCAGTACATTGATAGGTCAAAAGGTCTAACTTCTACCTCCTAAAAACGAAACTGGAGGAAGGGAAATAATGATAAATAATAAAAATTTTGTTCTGAGTTTAAAACTCACAAAATAGCCTACATCCTCGCACATATAAATTTCCAAAAACAGGGAAATGGGCGTGGCATGATGCCAGTAAATATGAAAAATATACTACAGCGGTATCATGATGACCCGTACAGTGACAGCCACGACAGTATGTTGCGAACTTATTATGGACTTAATATAAAGCTACATTTAAGGGAAAACGTGAAGGAGATGATAAAGAACTATATCAAATCTTGCCAAAAAATCAAATTTAAATACAAATCCGTATCGAAAATCCACGATAGTATCAAAATATTCATCCAACCCATTTCAAACTGGGCATTGGTTTCTCTGAATTAAGCAAACGGAGCGTGGAATCTGGTCTTACTAAATCTTTCCTTCTAATCATAGACGAAGGTATTAGAGTAACATTGACGTAGGCAATGAAAGAAAATGCATATCGTGTTTTACTTTACTTTGAGAAATTGCCAGTATGAGTAGTGACTGTGAAGCTGCTTTTACCTCATCCGAATTTCAAAAGGTGAATGAATGATAAAGGAACGAACACTATACCAGGTCTTCATATCATCCTGCAGAAAATGAATTAATCGAAGGAAAGCGCGCAGATTAAAATAAATATTTATTACCTGTTATCTTGTGTATAAAGGGGACTTGTACTGTACAGTACTTTGGGCGGTGGAATGACATCGCAGTTATAATGCCCATTTGAATGTTCTGTCTTAAACAAATGAAAAAGTAACCTGGCTATTTTCAAGACTATAAAGAATTCAATATGGATGTACTGTACAATTTTTTGAAAAACACGAACTTACAAGGGACAACGACAATATTATCAATGAATGAAAAAAAACGATGATCGGACTGGTAGGTAGCCCCAAGTATATTAGAATTGGTTTTACATCCTGTTTCAGATTTCTATAAATCGCAAGAATCCCATAATAAAATAACCATGTAAAGTTATGAAAATAGTACATTATAATGTGAAATTAAAAAATTTGGTCTACACTACCGAAAACTGATTATGTAAAACTGCTCTTATAATTAATGTCAAATTGTATCAGTGCAGGAGCAACGATAATTCTAAAGTCCCTATCAAACAATCCGGGTGTTAGCACCCGGATTTCGTCCGTGTATAGGCCGGATGTCTATTCACATCTGGAATTACATCGTTTTCCAATTAAAAATGAAAAGTCTCTAAAGTCTAATGCAATGGATAACGTGCATTGGAAATTCCGTGCTTTATTTAGTGTGATGTAGATGGAAAAATAGACGCAATAGGCAAATGTGATTCACCTTTTGGTGGGGGGGGGGAAAACTACTTGTTGGAGCTTACTATGTACTTTTTGAAGAACTCAGAGCAGATAGCGCCAAATTCTTCAACTACTTCAGGATAAAAATAAAAGCTACAAAATCTTACGTTACTATGATGCCTGATAAAACTGACAAACATAACTCTGTGGAGCAGAAGCTAACTGAAGGCGCCCGGACGTCTAATCACCCAGAACGAATGAAGACAGGCATTTGTTCCGGTGCTCTGTGAGTTGAGAGACGAACAAATTTCAGTGCCAGATCCATGAGTTAGTAGCAAGGAGATCCGAGCAGATTTGTCGTCTGAATGGAGATTTCACCATGTGAAAAGTCTCATGCCCTCGCAATGTACTACTACTCATCCGAGTAACATTCAATTTCAGAGTTTTATCTGGACGGGCAAATACTCAGATCGTGTGAAATGGGCCTAAATGAGAATTGTAAAATGTCCTTTCTGAGAAATGAGATGATATTAGTAGTAGTAAATAGGATTTGGAGGAATTAAGACATTACTCTTCGTAACTAGCCTTAATAAGGGGACAATTAGCCCAGAGGGGTTAGTAAACGGATAAGCAGGACCGGATAGGTGGAGGATATGAGTTATTTGTGCGAGAACAAGCAAAGGATTAAGACCTGTGCTAATCATTATAAAACGAATATTTTCTAAATATAGGAGCTGCCCATAAATTATGTCGCATTTTTCTTAAAATTTTTACTCTTTCCTCTTGTTCCAGTTTGTCCAAATTTCCGTAACCCCTCTCCTCTTCGGACGTCCAACAAAACCCACTTTAAAATCTTTATCAATTTATGAATGATAGATACAATAAATATAAACAAAACATACAAGAAATTTTAAAATAAATAAAATAAAATGCATAAACTGTATAAAATTTAATGAAATAAACGAATGTACACTGAAGCTCAATCTCTCCCCCTTGTCGTAATTCCCTCCCCCTTTCAGTGTGGACATCATTTATGGACATCATTTATGGACAGCGCCTACACTTAGTATGATATTAAACTTGCTTTCATTTTTATACTAGTGTTTATATTATTATAAATATGGAAATTTTTGCAAAAGAAAACATATGTTTGCAGTTCTTGGTGTTAAAAATCAAAAAAATTTTTTTATATAAATTAAAGGATTAGATTAACTTAAAATTTTTCTTTGTCAAATTGTTATAATTCAAAGATATTATGAGTTTATAAATATTTATTTACTAGATAATTATTGATGAATAATTTAAATACTCTAATTTAATTCGTATTAGTTATCTGAAATTTGCATTTGTTATTGAAACTGTGTAAAATGAATAAATGTATCATTGTAATTGTTATGATTATTATAATCGTTGATTTTAATAGAAATATTATCTGTATTATTAACATATCAATGTTTATCACAGGAATTATTTTCATCTATCTACTCTCTTAATTATTAAAATTAAGATAGAACTTTTTAGTTATTTGGAATTTTCGATAGACATTGTAATTTGTCACGATCATTTCTGTAGATTTATATAGAGAATTTTACTCCAAGATAGCATTTAATTTACGACAAAATTATTTACTTTTCATCGTAAGTTTTCTCTTAATCTATCTTACTTGTTCTTTCAATTATAAATATTATCGTATCATTTTCAACAAATGATATGGATAAATCATGTAAAGTAATGCAGTTTAGTTTATCTACACTTATCTATAATTTATTATATCACGTTTATAACATTTTTTTGTATATATTAATAATTTAATAATTAAAATAAGCAGGTATATATGTTGTAGAATATATAAATTTTTTTCATTTATATTTGATACTTATATAAAAAGTTACATAAATTATACAGTATATAAATTACATGTGACTCTAATATAATACTTTTAACATGCATTAAAATTTCTTAAGAGAAACATTTTACAATTTAAAGTTATTAATTTTTGCATAAATTTAGTTTTAGCTACAAAAACTCTTAATTATTATACAGGTACAGTAGATCCCCTATAACGCGGTAAATACGTTCCGTTTTATAAGAATTTCGCGTTATAGGAATCCGCGTTATAGGAATCCGCGTTATAGGGGTCTACTGTATTCGTGATATCATTTATAAAAAATAACTTTACTTATAACTCAAATGATTTAGGCCTAATCGATATATAAATTGTTCAATAAATTAAAAAATTTTAATTACTATTTAACCTTTTAATATATAAAACAATATTAAAAATAAGTTGTAAAAAAGTTGCGAAATTGAAAAAAACGCCTTCTTTTGAGAATAAGAAAATTTTTTTTCGGTTATTTACAGTTTTTCTACGTTTATCTGAATAAATGAATTTTTAAATACAATCGGTATAAAAAGTGATTATAATTAAACAGATGGTGTTTGGAGCTCTGTGTAGAAAGGAACTATTTGACCAAATGCAACTAATTTTGGTGTGTGCATTTTCCTGACCATGGGATTTCGATTTCGCAAATAAAAAGTTTAATTTCGAAATTTTCATATGGGGAAAATTTGTCGCTGATATCGCTGCAATTTGCATATTAGATAGGTTGTAATTCAGTTAATAAAGAGATGCTGAGACACAAAGGAAATGATTTTATTGCAATTTAGTGCGACGAGTACAAATTCCATAACCTTTAACGCTTCATAGGTTAGCATGTCATATAGGGTAATTTTACACATGTCAAATTGAGCATACAAAAATGTTCAACTAGCCAATAAACAAGACTAACGGTTTCACTATACGTATCATGCATTTTCCTGTTCTAAAGCGTGCATTTAATTAACAAACGCACTCGACGACGAAATCTCACTGACTTGGGTGCAATTGTCTCTCACGTAGCGAAATTCTGTTTTTTAGGACAGCTAAGTTAGAAGCATCATTATGATAAACATGGCTCTTTAAAGTACGCAATAACCAAAAATCACAAGGAATAAAGTTTAGTGACTATGGTGGCCATATTGTTGGAAATTAGCGGCTAACCACTTGCATTCATTCATGAAATGCTGGTGCAATAACCTTTTGCACATTAACGCCAAAATGAGGGATGCTCCATTTTCTATAGAAACTGTGGTATCCAAAGAATTTCCTTGATGAAGTACAGGGATGATGATGTTTTAAAGCTTGTCTCCAAACCTACTGAACATGTCACTGCCCAGGTACAGTGTTTTCTTAAAAGAAAAAATAATAAAATACGATAGAGCGATGAAGGATGCCGTAAACATGCACCATGGTAACTTTTGGTTGCTGAAAGGGATTTTTTTGATAAACGTGCGAATTATCTCCGAACAAAATGCAAGTAATTGAGCTCAAACGTTATTTTAATTTTTGGAGCCGATATACTGTATTTGGTTTGAATTTTTTTCTTATTTTAAAGAATTTGTTTTGTTAAAAGGAAGAAAATTCTCTAACCTCTATTCAAACTAATCTCAATTTTAAAAAAACTGACAGCTTTGCCCTCTACTTATTATTGCTTATGTCAGCAAATTCCAGTCGAAATAGCATCTACGATTTGATAAAAAATTTCATTCCCCCTTATTAACTCCTGTTTTCCCGATCTGCACCAAATTTTTCATACTTTTTCTCTGGAATCCTGACGAAAATATAGACTATCATGGAATTTGGATATCCATCCCTCCTCATTTAAAAAGGCCATTACACCGTTATGTTACAGAGTAATTTATTCAACCTAATGTTAATAATATTTTCTCAAATATTTTACGGGAAAATATTCTGTAAAAGAATAGTAAAACAATTGTTAGCAAAAAAATGTGTAGATGAGCAGCAATGACATTAGAAATATGATGTGACATTCAGTGCTTAAAATACTGAGAAAGGAGAGCTGAGGTGTAATTTCCAGTCGATTGTAACGAATTGGGGATTGATTAAAGAAAAGTTTGTTTTTTTAAGGTAGATTTAACTTAAAAAGTAAGAAGTATTTCTTGTCGAAGAAGTTTTTAGTCCTTTGCTTTTATTGTTTGAAACAATTACTAATTTTTTTCAGAATTAGATAAATGTTTCCTCCCTTTATTGTTGTATCACTTAACGCGTTAGAGTTAATTAAACTTTAATAATGAAAGCCTTGTTAATTATAAACTAACTTTGTAGTTTATGCAAACATTAAATTTCATCGTTAGTAAATATCATTTTGTTAAATTTTGGACTTTAATTATATAAGAAATTAGATATAAGGTAGAGATTGGAGACTTTATAAAAACACGACAGTTGTGACTGTTCACACATCAATTAAAAATGAGTTTTATTGGTCCATAGAATTTGCAAGAAGCATGTACCATCGATCATCACTCGAGCTATGAATGACATGTCAAATGATTTTCGCTGAGAATAATTACCAGAAAGCAATTCTTTACTAAGAGATGTTCTATAAGGGATAATGCCGCAAAATTTTCCGCCCTATAGAGTAAGGTATGCTCAATCACCGTGATACAATATGCGTACTATAACTGTCTCGAGAATTGTCTATTTGCGACTCTTTCATTTTCGCCATTTTCACTGGTTTATGTTACCTTCCTAGTGTCTCATTAAAAGCAGGGGAGGACCTAGTTTTTCTGGGCCTAGGGCTTATTGAAGTCCAATGGGACCCCATTTTTACTTAACCTATTAACTATTTTTTAATATACGACAAGTGCTCATTGTTAATGAAAAAATATTAAAATTTATGATGATAATTCAATTTTTGTAGACCCTTGATACTCGGGGTCCAAGGCTTAAGCCCTATTAGTCCCTATGTAGATCCGTCCCTGATTAAAAGTTCTTATTTCTTCAAAACTTTAGATCTTTTTCCTTAAAGTAGTAAAGGATTTTATCGCAAGGTCTTTAGACATCAAAATTCCTCGAGTACAGTACTTCATTATCTATTGCTTTAATGGTAAAGTTTATCCAGTGCGATCATGTAATTTAAGCACCATGACTTATCGCTAATCCACATTAAACACTCTTTTCAACCTTTATTAACTCAAGTTGTCACCAACTTACGTAATATACTAACTGCGGCAACATTAGCACCAAATTTCGCCATATTGGAAATTTTGAAACTAAACTTTTTATTTCCGAAATCGAAATCCAAAGGTAAGGAAAGTATGCAAACCAAATTTGGTTGCATTTAGTTCGATAGTTCTTTTTAGGGATGAGCAAGTCCGAGTCCAAAACTGGAGTCTGTAAACTTCGAAAAATTCTTTCCACATTCCTTAATCTGATTACATTCAATAAATTTTGCACAATTAAACTTCGTTGTCCTTGACTTTGTAAATTATAATTTTAAAAAATAATTTTCGACAACATATATACATAGAGGGTGGGAAAGAAAGTCACTTAACACCCCTGCTATAGAATATAGATTTTATCCAAAGTTAATTCGCTCATGTCAGAAACACATTAGATCAAGAGGAAACAGATTGACGTGTGTTACACGCACGGCCGCCATCTTGATAGCGGCCATATTGAATGCAATTCCAAAACTGTAAATGGGAAGAAAGTTATGTAACACATTATTTACAGTCATAATTTCACAAGGAATTGATTGCTGAAAGATTTTGTTGACCTACATCAACGGTTACAGAATTATGCACGTTACATGATGTGCTGTATGTACGTATTTTTGGGTACATTCTATATTCAGTAGCAAGGGTATTAAATGACTTTCTTTCCTACCCTGTATATATACACAGAGAGAGAGAGACATATACGGTCGCAATTCCAAGAAGCATTATTAAACGAATTTTATTTACAGAAGTATGAATATAAGTACAAAAATATAAATAAAAAAATTTGATGTTTACTAAATACAAATTAGAAAAATTTTCTAGCTTCGAGAAGAATAAAATATACAGTACAAATTTAACAGTAAAATAGTTTTTAATATGCCCACTATACTAATCTGATAAATGTAAATGCTACAATATATAAATTTCAGTGACTTTGACAAAAAAATTGTATTTTATAGTATTATTTCCATTTACATTGATAGCAAGACATTATTTACTTTCTGTTTTTACTATGTTTTTACTTTCCTGGCTGTTATATAAAAGCCAGGAAAGTGTAAACATACTTATATACATTATTTACTATAAATAATATACAATATATAACAGAGGGGAAAGTACTGCGATCTGTCAAAAAAATGATTTCTCCAAATTTTTACATTTTTAGACTCGGGACCGTGAAGCGTCGGCAAATGAAAAAAAAAAAATTCGGGCTGTGTTTTCTCTATATATGGATGATAGTGTGTGTGTGTGTGTGGAGGGGACAATTTTGTTCACCCTCTTTAATTAAAGCTATGCTCCTATGCTTTTTGTCGAAAATTTCTGAAATTTTGCAGGAATGTTTGTTTATTAGGAGATTAATGCTATCAAATTTTGGTAATTAAAGGTCGAGGGGTGGAGAAATTATGGAATGGAGATCGTATGTATCTCCTGTAGAATCGAACTTAATGACGATTTTACTCGTTATTATCATTTACAATGTTTTATAAAACCCATCCCTACCCTCAAAATTAAGCTTTTTGCCATTTTATAATAATTAAAAATATGATATTTTATTTTAAAAACTTTTTATAACAGATGACTCCACAAGTAGTTTTAAATGTTGCCGGGAAAGTTAAGAAACTNATTTTTTTTTAGATATCATAAATCTAATATTTTTATTAGTTATTGACATAAATTTTTTATCCATTACTAGACTTGGAATTTCAAAAATTTATGAAACGTAGAAGGATTCTTGGTAGACGTAGTATCAGTCCTCCAGTTGAACTGGAAGAAGAAGAACAAGAAAAAAGAGATGTCTCTTCACCTCTTCCCATTCCTAGCAAAGAAGTAACAGAGAGTTTAAGACTGTCGGCAGATTACGAAGAAAAGGTTCGAGTCCTTAGGCTTTTAGATTTAAAGCCTTTAGTTCCTGATAAGAAAAAAGGTAAATTTGGTCAAAATCATGATATATTTAATATTAACATAAATACATGATTAAGAGTTTTGATTACTTACAATATTAAGTGTTACAATTTAAAAACCATACATGAAATAATTATCTTGCACTGATCACTATTCATAATATGATCACTTTTTTCCTATTTTAATTTGTGTTGTACTGAAAATGAAATTGTGTCCAATGTTAAAATTACTAATAATAAATATTTGCACAATTTTAATAATAGAAGCTCTGTCAGTGGTTTACCAAAATTTGATAGAATATTAATTTGATTTCTGTAATTGTTTTTTAAAACAAATTTCATTTTATTACTTTAGTGATAGTATCATATATTATTTTTTGAATTTAGAAAAAGAGAGAATTTGGAAGACAGTTCCTGAAGAAAGTAATCAGAAGAATGGGATTGTCAAACCTATCTGTGATCCACCACATAAAACTCCTTCAAGTAACTTTTTTAACTTATTTCTATAATAAAAAAATGTTATTTGATTTGAAATATTTCTATTGAAAGACAAAGATTATCTGTGCTTGAAAGGGGTGCAGGTTTTATGTCAGTTTTAAATTACAAATATGTATTCATTTAGTGACTTTAGACTTGAAAAATCTTTTGTGCACCACAAACATTCTTCTGTCATCGCCAAAATCAAATACATGTATATACTCTCACCTCACATTCATTGTCTATTAAAGCAGGGATTGAATAGACACTTTTACTTGAAAGCTGATAAATTTTCAGTAATTATCCCTCCTATCTACACAGTGATGTCATTTGAGAGAATTTTTGTGGTTAAGATGTGATGTAATTGAAAAGTGCAGTGAGTTTGAAGACTTATCTTAATAAGCCATAAAATTCACTTTAGCCATAGCTGGACTGTACAATTATAGTGTTTTGTTTTCTTTATACACAACAGCATTACTTTCTGAAATTTTTTTTTACCAAAATTAGAAGTAAAGATTTAAGGGTTCACACATTGAGATTATTTAACTCATTTATTATATCACTAGTTATGAAGAAATTGTTATCTATAGTTATAGTTTTTAGACCTTCCTAAAATGCATTTTTCCAGCTCCCACCAGTTAGGTTATTTATGTAATCTTGCTTGTTAAAAAACTTCCATACAGAAATTTGAAAACTTGTATTCACATCAGTGGCATTTGGTGACAATTTTCAAAAGGGACCAGGTGTGAGTAAACGTTTTTTATAACAATTATTAATTAAAAACACCTGGAAAAAACTCATTTTATTTGCAAATTATTGGCACATTAATTTTATTTTCCTGGCTCTGTTATATACTGTATAACAGAGAGAAAGTATGGCGATCAGTCAAAAAATGACCACCTCCCCATAATCTCTCATTTTTTATTCAAGGGATCTTGAAACATTGAAAAATGCAAAAAAAAAGTCTGGCCTTTTTCTGTATGTATGGATATTAGTGTGGGGGGCAAGATTTTGTTTACCTTCTTTGATGTTTAATAACTCCTGTGCTTTTTGTTGAAAATTTCTGAAATTTTGTAGGGCAGTTTGTGTATTAGGGGAATTGATGCCATTAAGTTTTTGTGGTTAAAGGTCGATGGGGTGGGAAGATAAAGGCGGTCATATGTCATGTCTCGATGGGTCAGATTAATGATGATTGTAAATGCCAATAAAGAGTAAAATTTTTTATAAAACTCATCCTTATCCTGAAAATTAAAGTCTTTTGCCATTTTATAGTAATTAAAAATATGATATTTTATTTTAAAAACTTTTTATAACAGATGACTCCACAAGTAGTTTTAAATGTTGCCGGGAAAGTTAAGAAACTCGTTGCTAAATTTTCTCATTAGAAATTGATGATAATTGGATTGATGATTTAAAAGTAACACATGGGCGATTTGCCTTCCGGAAAAATTTTCTATATAAAATTGGCTCCAATTTAGGAGTTAGACAAGCTAAGAAAACCGGAAACTCCACGTGGCTAGCCCATTGGTCAAGTGCGAACCTACGATAAACTATCACTGTTGAGTGGTTTTTAGTCACTAGGTCACTGGCGGGTAGAAGTTAACGTGGAAAGTAAAATATAATTCTATTAATAGTTATTTCTCAAATTCCGGGAAATTATAATTGATCGTGTTTCGGACTACATTTAAAGATTTAAAACTTATAATAAATATATGACGAAAACTATACGATTATATAAAAATGATATGTATTATCAAAATAATGACTTTGTGGATTTGTCTTATTTTCTATTTATCCGTCTTGTTCTGACACATCTAAATTTAGTTCATTGTTTATTAAAATATTTTATTAATCCACCAGACTAAAATTCTTACGTTTATTTACATATGATTTGACATAACGCTATATTACTACTGTTATTCCTTAAAATAAAATTTTTTCTTAGTCTCAATTCAGTATATTGTATATGCAAGTTTTCGAATGTAAGATATATATTTAAATTTGTATAACTATAACCGCTTAATATTAAGAATATTTTTAAAAATAAATACTTTGAAAACTTCTCTCTATAATGATGTAATTTAAATCACATAGAAATCTGAATATGGTATGATTAAACACTATAAAAACTGATAAAGCTGATAAAATTTTTACTGGAATATCATAAACCGATTTTTTTATTTTCGTCTTCTAGTTGAAATTTTAATTTACCTTATAATTTTTATTGAGCTAATATTAAATATGAAACTCTTCGGAGATAAATATATATATATAAAATTTTATTTTCTGAAAAGAAAAATGAAAATTAGATCGCAGAAACTGCACTTTTGCTTATTTTCTTGTTATTCGTAAATAAGAAAATTCTTAATTTTCTAGCCTGTTCTTCTCATCTTTCAAGAATTTTTCTCGATTAATCCATCATTTGATTGCTTTTTATTTCAGCTATTTAAGTAAAGGATTTTTCTAGTCTTTGCATTGGATGATTTATTAAATCTTACTTAAAAACTCTATATATCAGAAATAACTCTTTATAATATTGTGATTGACGATGAAAAATTGGTTTCGACAATAGTATTGAAACTAGAACTCTCTGGAATAAAAAGAAAGTTGAAGAACATTCCAAGTGAACGAGTTAATTATAAGGAAGATGGATGGTACGCGTAATCATATACCTAATTTCAGATATACAATGAGAGAACAAAAAATATCAAAGTCGGGTTCTATTTAATGACAAGATCTTTTATCATGTCGACAATAGAATATAGAGCCTATTAAGTTTTACATTAATATTTGCTCTTAGAATCTTTTCAGTAAAGGAAAAGGTGTATCGCAGGCAAAATATTTCAAATCAAAAAAGAAAGTATCACTATCTGTTAACCTAGAGTTTGTCAACTTGTGGTACGAGATGATGGGACAGGTGGTCCTTGAGCCGACTTAAATTTATAGAGCAAAACTTTGTTTAATGATGATTTATTTTAAATAATTTACTTCCAATTTAATTATGTTTCCGCGTGTATTCAAAACACACTTTTAGATTTATTCTGTTGTAAAGGGAACAGTATGTTCCAAATGTTGTTAATACCCAGATAAGTTTTTAAAAAAAATTAGGCCTAGTAACTTAGTGGTCTGCAGATTTTTTTCAGAAATTTTACTGACTTACTTTAAAATGTTAAAAAACGATATGATAACCTATATTACAAATATATCGAATGAAAAGATCCAAAGTGAGATTTCTATTCACATCGGAGATAGTTTTAACAATTTAAATTACTCTGTTTATAGTAAGTAAGTAACAAGACTGAAAATTATTAAAAAAATAAACTAGATTTTGCACTTTCCACTTTTTAATACTAATCAATAGTAAGGTAAATGTATAAAATTCTATCCTGATAATTTTGATGATAGTGAAAAAATTGAAATAGTAAACAGTTTTCTTTCCTTAAGCTTTAGAATAGACAATGATGAGAATGCATTGAAGAAATAAAAGGATGATTAATACTAAGAAGAAAGATATTCAGAAACATAGAAAAGATTGCAAAGGATATTTAGTTTAGCGCCTTCCATTAAGTTAAGAAAAATATATAGCTTATTGCCAGAGATAACAACAGCAAAGTAACTTTGATTTAATGCTCACGAAAATATCTTTTTACTTCGAAGTAATCAATTGCGTTTAATCACTCTTGTCACAGTTTGACATAGTGTCTTAAACAGCACTTTCTACTTTTTTTGCAGCGTTTATCTTTTATAGTAGATTTTTTAAAAAATAATGTTATGTTATAACCTACCAGATGTAACAAGTATTCAATTGGGATTAAACGTTTTTTTTATGTCAGATAGCTTCAGATAAATGATTTCTCCAAGAAAGAACTTTTACCATTATTGTTAAAGTCAGATTTTATTAATTAATTTTAAAAATTATTTAATAAAAGTTTTAGTACCGTAAATTATAACATTGTCTTGCATAATCATCATCATTAATTGCAATTGCACATTTTGTTTTTGATTCATTTTAATTCAAAATTATATTATTTATTAATTAACTTATGAAAAATATAATTATAATGATTGAAATTAATTATAAATATAATTTAGTAGATACGAATTAATTTAAAAACAAAATTAATTTATATAAATATAAATATTTTGCGAAATTTAACAATGGATTTTAAATATTAAGAAATTGAAATCATAGTCTTGCTGAAGTTAGTTTTTTAAATGTTTTTCTAATGTTAAAGAATGTTAATGAGAACAGAACATTAACAATTTTAAGAATAATTCATGCAGAATTAATAGGAAAAAATATAATTTTTCTATACAGATGAAATTTTAATATGCTTGTATTTTATTAAATACATAAATTATATTTTTACAAGAATATATTTTAAACAAATTCTAAATTAAATATATCATGTATATTTTTGGAGAGTTAATTCCAGGTTTTCTAACTGGATCCATATTTTGATGATAAATAATTATTATGTGGAAAGAAAGCAATTACAAAAATACTACAAAAACTGTAAATATAATTTATAACAGTTAAAACCGGTTTTAAACACAAAAAATAAAAATATCGTTTTAAATGAATATTACAATATAAATATTGTAAATAGATTTAGATGTTATTAGTAAATGAATTGAATGAATGCGAAATAAATAATTACAATTTTTTTGAAGAATGAAATATTTAAAAATAAACGAAAATAATATTTGCAAAAACATAAGTCAATTTTTTTCCTTTAAAAGGAATTCTTTCTTCCTAAAGCTACTAAAATGGTCTTTTTATGCAAGTTAATCGTTAATTCCATCACGTCAGTTCAGTAATAAACGACAAGATCGATGTATTCAGTTTATTAAGCAAATTTTCTTGAATAATCATCAAAAAAAACTTTCTGAGCAACATGGACTCAAACCAAGTTTCTCAGAGCAGCAAGATGCTGTCTTTATCACTTCGTCTATCCGGCTTTCATAAACGAAATATTAGATTCATATTCTTGAATCCATGAGATTATAACTCATATAATATCGTATAACC